CCCCCCGACGACGTGCCCCGCTGGGACCCCAGCAACCCCCTCTGCCCCGGGGCCACCCGGGCCAACGGCGAGGTACCACCAAGGACTCAAATGTCTGGGCTCCCTCCAGCGCCCTGTCCACCCCCTGATCCTGTGTCTTGCCCTGGCAGGTGAACCCCCAGTACGAAGGCACCTTCGTCTTCCCAAATGACTTTCCTGCACTGCAGCCTGATGCTCCTGAGCCTGGTAACATCTGGGGGGACAGCAGGTTGCCAGGGAACCCCAGGCTCAGGTCCTGGGGGGCTGCAGGGTGGACTGGAGAGACATGGGTGCTGCCCTAGCACCTTCTCCCTCCCCACTCTCTGTCCTTCCCCAGGTGACAGCGATCACCCCTTGTTTCGAGCGGCAGCAGCCCGTGGGGTGTGGTGAGTACCTCCATGGCTCTTGAGGGTCCAGGCTGCAATGTCAGCCAGGACCTGTGAGGTGAAGCCAGACTGAGCCTGCCCTGCTCCTGATACTGCCTGTTCTGTGGATGCCTGCTCTGTTTTGAGAGCATTTGGGGCAGATCTCATCCTTGTCCCCTGTTCCACTACTACCCGGTGAGGCCGTGGAGGTCTCCGTCTGCCCAGCAGTCCCAGACACGTGTATGTCCTCCACAGCAAGGTCATGTGCTTCCACCCCTGGTCAGACCTGACGCTGCCCCTCATGTCCCTGGCAGAGATCCGGGCCGTCATCGATGCGTGGGCAGAGCTGGCCGCTGAGCTGGGTGCCTCCTACCCCTGGGTGCAGGTCTGGGGCTGGTGGGGGCTGCCTCTTTTCTCCCTGCCCCAGGGTCTTGGGTGGAGGGAGGGGCCAGGGCTGGGTGCTCTGGCATCACCTGAGATTGGGACCATCCCAGTTACATGTGGGTCCCCTGTCTCCACCTCATGCCCCTCTGAGCCTTTCCAGGCAGTTGCGAGGCTCTACTCTGCTGTGGGATGCTTTCCTGGTGTACCGGGGACCCCATGGCGGCCCGCAGCAGGGACGCTGCTGCTGGGACCTGCTGGCTGCACCTTTTCCTCTGCAGATCTTCGAGAACAAGGGAGTGATGATGGGCTGCTCCAACCCACATCCACACTGCCAGGTGAGGCTGTCCTGCCTGTGACATGGCTTAACCGTAAGTCCCAGGGGGCGACCCTACAGCAAACCCAGGTAGAAGGTATGAATGGGAATCCTTTTGCCCTGGTACCAAAGCTTTCTGCAACGAGGATACCGCCGTGCCTGTTCTGTCACCTCCCTTCTGGCTAACTGTCCCTTGAGGCTGCCACACGTCGGACTCTCCACCTGGTGGCAGCATGGACCTGCAGATGGGCAGTGTGGTTGGGGCACACCTGCAAATGCAGGGTACAGGTTACCCAGCCCTGCACCCCGATGTCCTTCCCAGGTCTGGGCCAGCAGCTTCCTCCCCAACGAGGCACGGCTGGAGGACCGGACCCAGCGACAGCACCTGAGCCAGCATGGTGTGCCCATGCTGCTGGAGTATGCTGAGCAGGAGGCTCGCCGGAAGGTGAGGGCATGGCCTGTTGTCCATATCCCCTCCCTGAGAGCTGGATGTGTGCTGGGGCAGGCCCCCCAGCCCCCAAGAGCAGAGCTCCCGGGAATGCCCATCCCCAGGGCATCAGGATGTTGAGCTGTCACTGCAGGAGCGGCTGGTGGTGGAGAACACTGACTGGCTGGTTGTGGTGCCATACTGGGCCACTTGGCCCTTCCAGACCCTGCTGCTCCCCCGCCGTCACGTCTGCCGCCTCCAGGACCTCCATGACAGCGAGAGGGACAGTGAGTGGCTCTGCACCTCGTTATGCCCTGTACCATGTCCTCTGGGCTCGGCCTTCGTTAGGAGGCAGCTCTGTGGCAGCCTCACTGGTGCAAGAGGGTTGTGTCCCCCTGTGGTGTGGGGCTGCTGGGCTTTTTTTGAGGGGAGAGAGGCACCCCTGTTATGCTGGGGCGGGAGCCAGGCATCCAAGCACAGGCTGCACTGGTGAGGGGATTGTCATCCTTTTTGGGGTGATGAAGCACGTGGTGCCCCATGCTCTTGGGATGCTGGCTGATTAGGAACGAGGGTTCCTGCTGCTGCTTTGCTTGGGCTGTCTGCATGGGTTGGGCAGGGGGAATCTGGCCAGCATGTCCCTCCTGCCTGTCACCAATGTCTACCAAGGGAAGGGTGCTGAGGGTGACCCATCTCCCATCTGTCAAAGTCAGGTATGCTGCCTGCCCTTAGCAGGGGGCTGGCCAGTTTCAGCTGCGACCCTCTGGTCCTCTCCTGCAGGCCTGGCCTCCATCATGCAGAGGCTGCTCATCAAGTACGACAATCTCTTCGAAGTCTCCTTCCCCTACTCCATGGGCTGGCACGGTGAGTGGTGCAGTCAGGAGACCCCCATGACCCTCTCATCTATGTTCCCGTTTCCTCCCCGGGGCTCACGCAGCAGTTGCACCCCTGGCAGGAGCCCCCACAGGCCCCTACCTGGAGGAGGACTGTGGGCACTGGCAGCTCCATGCCCACTACTACCCTCCGCTGCTCCGCTCTGCCACCATCCGCAAGTTCATGGTGGGCTACGAGATGCTGGCGCAGGTGCAGCGGGACCTCACCCCAGAGCAGGTGAGCATAGTGCAGGGGGGGGGATTGTGGGGAGCCAGGGAGTCCCATGCTGCGGCCGTCCATGTGCTGTGCCCTGCAGGCGGCTGAGCGCCTGAGGAGCCTCCCTGAGGTGCACTACAAGCAGAGGACCAAGGAGTCGTCGTGATGGGGAGCAGCAGCAGAGCCAGCCTCGGCTGTGCGCGGTGAGTCCAGGGAGAGGAGGCAGCTGGGGCTGGTGAGGCGGGAGTCTGGGAACTCATGTCCGTTGCGAGCCCTCCATCTCCCAGCTTTTCATGAGCCTTGTTGCAGCTTGGCCTGGCTTGGGGACTGGTTTTGCCTGTTCGGGTACCCCAGTCCTAACCCTGCAGCATCCTTGTGCAGGTGGTGCAGTTCCTTCTCTCTCTTTCCTCATCCCAGGCTGTATCTTCCAGCTCTGCAGCATGGTCTTACCACCACTAAAGGGCTTGCCCTCCTTACCAGTCCAGTCTTCCTGATGGAACTGGGAGTGTTGTCTGCCCTGTGGAGGGGCACAACCCCTGTGGCCAATAAAACATGGAAACAAAGTGCCTCTGCCTGTGCCCTCTTGGCTTTTGGCCCTGGGTGGGAGGTTCGAGGCCTCTGGTAGGGACCCCCAGCTGGTGAGAGGGGATAACTCTGGGGGCTGTAGGGGGTGTGCCGGCAGCCCTACGCCTCTTGCTGCTGTCCCTGTCTCTGTGTTGCCTCCTCCTCCTCCCTGGGGGGAGCTCTGAGCCTGTCTCTGAGCTTGGGAGGGGTGGGAGACAGGGAGGAATTGATGCTGCTCAAGGCTTAGCCAGCTCCTGGGAGAGGGCTGTGGCCTGGCAAACTCACTGCACGGAGGTAGCTGGCTGGGATGCTCAAACCTGGAGCATCATCCAGGAGCTTCATCCTCCTCACTGCCTGGGGCTGTTGGGCTGCAGCTCATCCTGCCTGCTGCGGGTACTGGGACTGCTGGGGTGCAGCAAGGGGCTGGTTCATCACTAGCCCAGGGGCTACCAGGGCGTCCAGCGCTGCTCATGGTGCTGCTGCTCTCTTTCCCCTTCCCTGTGCCCACCCATGGTGCGGGGCAGCAGCAGCCCGGTGCCTGGGCTGAGCTGAGGGATGCTGTAACCAGCTGTGTGCTCCCTCCTTGTGGCGCTTTCCCCGAGGGAAGCCATGAGACTGTGCAGGGGTAGGTCCTGGACAGTGATGTCCCACAGTTGATGTAGGGGGTTGCTGGGTGCCATCTGCCATTGTGTTTTCACACAAATAGATTTTATTTGTCACTAAAGAGCCATTCTAGTAACTCCTTAATGAGGCCCCTATCCCTGTCAAGCGTGTGAGTGAGCTCATGGGGGCTAGAAATATCTTGTAAGGAGAGAAATGCTTTCCTCCTACCTACAAGATGACAATCTGTGGGGAGGGCTGTGCCCCCCTGTGGAGAAATAACCAAAAATGGGGGAATGGAAGATGGCTGTTTCCCAAAGTTCAGCTCACAAGCTGTAATATTAAAGCAGCTTTGAGGAGAGACACAGTTGCTGCTCCCAGGAACAGAATGCGGTTGGCACGGACAAGGCCTACCCTGGCTGAATAGAATGTACAATGTCCTTGAAATGGGGAGTAGGGTGGTACAAAGGTACCACGGCTCATCCCTGTTACCAGGGATAGGGAATGGCTGCCAAAAGGAACCACACAGCTGGCAAGGAAGCTGGGAAGCTGGATCATGGCTGTTGCCTCAGTGATGGTGGTGGACAGGGCTGGGCCAGGCATTTACCGAGACAGGTTGGTCGTGTTAATGTTTAATGAAGTTGCAAAATTCTTGTCCTTTAGGCAAACTTTCATTACAATACCGAAACACACCTCCATCCCAAAAGCTACCTGCCTCTGGGCTGTGACAACCCCTCATTGAGCAGGCGCCCTGAAATTCTTCTAGTCTATACCTTTAAATTGACGTGAGGAAAATTTACACCAATCCTGCCGAAGTGAGTGGCTAGAGTCACTCAAGCCTCATCAAAAAGTATAAAAATTGCTTAAGAGAAGAGGGTGTTGGGTGAAGACCTCCATCGGAATGTCTGGGATCAGTTGACAGGCTGGACCCCTCTTCTTCCCCCACAGGGACACCTGTTGGGTAAGAGCTCTGTGTTATGGGCGCTTAGTTACTAACATCTTGCTAGCTAGTTAGAATCATCGCTAATAAGTTTTGATTTTGCAGTCAGTACCTATCACCGGCTGTCTTTGAATCTGTATCCTGTCACGAGCACACGTAATAAAATTTGTCATCTGTACACATAAGCTTCCAGAAACTTCAACGATTGATGCAGGGGACATAAGGGATTTGGCCCGGTGTCGCTGCTCATGAGGGTCCCTGAATAGGTCAGGTGATCACCCTCTGACTTAGTGGGGTGTCCAGAGGGATTTGTCCCAGTGACGCTGTCAGCATAAGCCTGACAGACTGGTCAAATTGTAAAGGGTTTGAGGTAATCCCTCTCTCTGTCCTCTATCAACCTAACGTCATTTCTTAACGTGACACTCCCCATTCCATCTGTGCATCTCTTCCCCCATCCCTACCCAGGGGGTTGGGGCAGAGAGAACGGCTCAGCCAGCGTGAGGCTCAGAGCCAGGCTGGATGTGACCCTCCTGCATGCTGGCCCCATCCTGCTCCCCCATCACCTCATCCCAGAGCCCACAAGCCATCCCACCACCTGTCCTCAGGGCTCCCTAGGTGCCCAAGGGTTTTGGGGTGACCCTTGAGCTTAGAGCCATCATTGTACAGAGCATCCCCCTGCATGGCATAGGGGATGCCCAGCTCAGAGTATGGTCTCTTACAAGTGGATTTCTTCCCTCCCAGGACAAGCAGTGTCTGTCCGGGCTCTGTGACCGTCCCCATCGCAGCCCCCATCCCTTCTGAAACCAACAAGTGCTTTCATGCCAACCTCCAAACTTCCCAAACCCCAGGGCCCTGGAAAAGTGTTACGGAATTGGTTTAAATGTGGGAATGCAGACTGGGGTAATTAGCTACTGAACTGGTTGTAACGAAGCTAGTCATCTCCCTGCATGCGCAGTTAGCTCTGATTTAATAGCCCACCGGCTCCCAGCCTGGGCTGCGGTGCCTCGGCCCAGGGCCGTAAACGAAACTCGCAGTAAGTCAAGCGGTATTAAACTTTACAGTCGCTGTCTTTAAAAACGAGACTCTCTCTCTAATAAATCAGAGCAAGTGGGATTGTAAATATCGAGGCAGGATCCATATTGCTTAATTAAACAGCGCCTAATGAACAGCCTGTTTGTTGTGTTGTGATTTAGGACGGAGGCTGGGGAGGCGGCACGTGCCGAGGAGTGCTGGTGCCCATGCTGGGATGCCCTCTCTGACAGGTAGCAGCTGCTGGAGTTTAGCTGCTGCTAAAATAGCTCAGAGGCTGCCTGAGAGTTAATTTTATATTTTTTTTTTTAAATTAAAAAGTAGTTTCTCCCCCCCCCCAAAAATATCTGAAACATTCAGGGTGGAAGTCAGCAGCAGGTGGAGGAGGAGAGGGGGGTGCAGCTAGGTGGGAGAGCTGGACCCTGGCTACACTGAGCCCCTCCTTCCTCATGACAGATCTACCTCCTCTTGTGCTGGTATTTTTAGCTTGTGTCAGGGGGTGTGAAAGGCTGGGAGGCAGCAACAGACCTTTCCCGTGGCACGAGAAGGCATCGGACTGGTGTGAATGCTGCTGCTAGGGTTGCAAAGGCATTGGAATTCACAGGAACCATCACTGCCATGCTGTAAAGCCCTGAAGCCTGTTATATTTTGGTAGTTACACTCCAGTTGTAATCAAAAAGTGATTTATGGCAAGGAGATTAAAAGCACCTAGCTGGGTGCGGGATGGTGGAGCGGAGGGTCTCTGGGGCAGCTGGCTGTTGCTGCTGACCTTGAAGCATCAAAGGGAAACTGAGGCCTGTTGGGATGCCCTGTAGGGATGTGCCTCAGTGCCGTTTCACTTCTGCAGGGAAGCTGTTGGAGATCATCCTGGCAAAAGTGTCCATGCCTTGGTGTCAGCCTCATCCTGAGCCCCTGTCCCCCAGCATCAGGGCCAGTACATCCTCCACAATCCCTGCCCTGAGCTGCTCTGGAAGTACAAGCAGAGCAGGTGATGGGTGGAGAGAGAGGGAAGCTGAAACTAAGCTGAAGCGTGGAGTTAATGCGTTAAAAACACATTGAGGTTCCACGGAGGCGTTTGCTCCCTCTGTGGCCTGTTAATAGGGCTGTGAGGCATTAGTAAGGGGCCACGGTGCTTCTGTGCTGGGCCAGCACGTCCTGTGCTCTGCAAGGAGCAAGGAATAAGCCCAGGAGGGGATGCAGAGATGTAGAGACGCTTGAATCATAGAATCATAGAATGGTTAGGGCTGGAAGGGACCTTCAAAGGTCATCTAGTCCAACCCCCCTGCAAGGAACAGGGATATCTCCAACTAGATCAGGTTGTTCGGGGCCTCATCCAACCTGGCCTTGAACGTCTCCAGGGATGGAGCATCCACCACCTCTCTGGGCAACCTGTTCCAGTGTTGTACAACTCTCATGGTAAAAAATTGAGGGGGAATGGCCAGGAATTTAGTCCTGTTTCCATCCCATTTTCTGATGCCACTGAAACAAATCGTTTGGGCTACTAAGGGACATGGTTTCCCCAGATCTGCTGGGGCTTTGGCTCGACTGAGACCAACTGACGTGCTCACCCAGGTTGTTGCACTGCCTGTCTCCATTGTCATCCCTGTCCTGACTGTCTGAGAGACCCAGGGTATCCCCAGCTCTGATACTGACTCATTCTGCGACCATGGGTAACTCCTGGGATGCTACTCCTGGATGCCACCCTGGTGCACAGAGACCCTTTGGCATGAGCTCTCAATGATGGATCGTAACTGCTGGAGGCACTTTTGCCACCTTTAGTTATGTGTTGATGTCCTAGGCAGCTGCTGAAGGCTGCAGAGCTGCACACCTGCTGCAGATCCTGAATCCCAAACCCTGCCCACCCCTCTTTCACTCCTCCCTGCCTTATAGCACAGGTGAGACGATAAATATTGGGCAAAGGAAGTTAATCTGTGACCAGAGTGTTTTAATCAGAAAAAAAAGGTATTAGTGCAGGCCTGCTGGCTCCTGCCAAACTACAGTTTTACTGTCCCTCCCGGTACTGGGTTTATGGC